ACAAAAACGGAACTTTATTGCAGGGCTGCTGTATTAGAGTGCATTAGTTTCAACCCAGTCTAATACCGAATATACCTAATTAACTGGCAACTGAATATGAAATATAATGTTACTAAAATGGTACAAATCCATCCAATTTCTAAGAGTCATCTAAAAAGTTGATGACTCGAAGGGAAGAAAAGATGATGATGAATAAGGATGATGTGGTAAGTTTCCAATCAAAGGTCAAACAAAGAGAGCACTTTTCATATTCATGAAAATACAGAAACCATCGCAAGCAGACAGCTAATAAAACCCCAGCTGACAAATACCTTTGAATAAACGTTGGAATATGCATTCCTCCGGCTGTATTTGTTGTAGAGATTCTGAAACAAACTCTGCTTTCCCATGGTGTTCAAGAACGAAACTCTGACAGCTCTGACACACAACTCATCTCTGAACCTTGGACGCTCCTTATCAAACTCATTCACGACCATAAATTTTGAAACTAATTACCAAACTCTAAACGCTCGCTCTAGCGAACCTGAGCAGATGATGTATAAAGATGCGGCAACAAATCTATCACCTGCCCATCCAACTTCCCAGTTTTTCTCTTACCTATTCTCACAGCTGAGTTCCTCTGGGCATTCAAGAAGTGCAACGGAGTCAAAAACATGTGACTCACCCTGCTGCTTGTGCTGTCATCTGACGGTCCACCCATATGCTCTTGCTTCACTGCAGCATTGTTTAGATCCCATGAAGTCCCTGTGAGCAAAAAAAAAAAACCACCAATATCTGTCCACCCTTCTCTGACAAAACATCCTGCGCACTGCAGACTTATAAGGAAGCGGAGACTCATCACCACTTCCTAACATGATTAACACCCCACAGCTCATGCTGTCATTCCTCTCTGTATGAAAATAACTTTATGCAAAGACATTACAACAGGCTCAATGTGAGAATTGTAATATGTAAATTCAAGCTGATCATCCCACAGCCACTTGATGCAACAGCCTGCTCCCTGCCCAGCGAAATTAAACAATGCAGCACCTTGTAGGTAGTACTGCCGCAGTTTGGGATTTCTGATGTGGGGGATGTGGTTGAGAGGCCGGCCCACAGCCGGCTGGTGCTGTCGCTGGCTGCTGGCTACAGGATTCTGCATCACTCTGGCCTGAGGTTGAGTCTCCCAGGGCCGCTTAGCGAACTGTGGAGGCTGAGAGACACCAGGAGGGAGCTTGGAACCCAGCCTGAGAGGGAAAGTAGAGAAAACAGATAAAATGCAGATTTCTTTACCATTAGGCTATATATAAACTAATATTTCATAATCAAAGCAGTTGCATATACATTTTCTGTAGATCGACTAATCATTAATGCACTGATTCAGATTGTGTTATTTTGGACACCAACACAGCCATGGAGGGAAATCAGAAAATCAATACATATATTTAAAAGAGATATATAATTGAGTATCACTCCTATGCAGATGATACTCTAGATGATGATATTTCTTTTAAACATGACATTGTTTTCTATTTTGCATGACTGGCTCCTCGTCTGTTAAGTCCACACTCATAAATGTAGGTGGACCAGGTGTACTGAAAAGCATGTGAATCTGTAATTCCCTCTTCACCTGGTTTACTATATGTTGGCAAGACATCCCTGGATCATTTAAATGTGGTCTGAAATGCTGCTGCAAATCTCGTGACTGACTGGAGTCCAATCTGGATTTCTTTACACAGGAGCTAAACAAATAAACTTTACTTGCTTTATGTACTTAACTGTAAGTTAAATATGTAATCAGGTGACATTTTCTAATTATAGTTCACTGACACTGAATTAGTGACCAAATCAAAGAACTTTATAGGCAGTAGGTTTTATCTTAACGCAGCACTCATCTTCCATTTCACTGTCTATAAAGCTGCTAGTCTCTGCTACAGGTTCAAACTACAAACGACCATACTGCTACTGTAAAATACTACCAAAAAAACTTAAGTGAATGATTATTTTCTCCATTCATTCATTGTTGTTTGGTTTATAGGATAAAATAGTCAGAAGATAGTGAAAAATGGCCATCACAGTATCACAGAAACCCAAGCAGACATCTAAAAATGTCTTGTTTTGTCCAACAAACTATCAGAAACCCAAAGATATTCAGTTCAGTTTCACATAAGACAGTGAAAAGCATTTCTGTTTGAAAAATGACTTTATTATGATTGTTCTACTATTAAAATAGATGCAAATACTAAAAAATTATTCTCTTATAACAAAATTATAATAACAAAATAATCTGAGTCCAAAGGTCCACGTACTTATAGTAGCTTTCAACCGCATTTTATGGAATTAGATTATTTCTGTACAAATACTTATGCTCAAGGTCGAGAATGAATGCCAACGCTCAAATATAAATTGTATTTTCGGGTGGCTTTTCCCCTTTAATTGCAGGGACTCGAGGATTCATTGTTTAGAGTATTTAAAGTGTGAGTAACTGTATAGAGCAGCATTCACAGTCTGATCAGAGTTATTTATAGGGGAGTGGGAGTTGTCTGCGATGGCCAGGGAAGTGAGTTACTGGCAACATGCTGTAACTCTCACCCACATGATGCTGTTTTTCTTTCAGTGACAGTGGATGCAAACAGCGAACTGGGAATCATTCCTTTTTGTATTGCAGTCTGACATAATACATGCTTAGCGGTAATCTGGACCCCTTTTTTATTTAATAAATAGAATAATGAAAGACTGAATTGTAGCATGCTTAAATCTGAGAAGTAAATACCAGCCAAACTTGTCACATGTCTGCTTATAGCTTTCCTCTTTGTTTTTCTTTCCAGTAATCCGTGTATTTAGAGGCCTGACCTGGTCTTGACGTTGCCAAAGTAGCTGGTCCTGGTCTTGTCCCTCTGGGGCTCGTGGTCCATGGCTCCTAAAGTCTCGGGTCTCCTCACAGACTGAGCCATTTTATGTGTTTCTTTAGAGTGACACTGGCAGTGGGAGCATTTGCAGACGGATGAGAGGCTCAGCTGGCATCCTTCCTCCTCCTTTTATTCCCCATGCCTTCCTTTTTGCCCCAGTTACAGCACCTACACGAGGCAGTAAATCAAGAGCTGACTTTACTAACATCTACACAGAGGGAGGGGAAAGGGTTGGTAAAAGTTCTACCAGCAGTCTCATGACTCCATAAGGAAGTGAGCTAGACATTTAACAGAGTAATGGAGCAAGGTTCCCAATTCAATAAAAGTGTCAATCAATCCGTGTGATGGAAGTGTGCATGAGTGCTCGCAATCAATGTGTCTGCGCCTGTGGCCCAAGGTTGCTGACCAAGTGGGACAAATGAGGTACAGTTTGCACTTATGAATAACTTAAGATAAGAGAATATTATTACATATCATTACAATGCTTCTAAAAATCTGATGTTTCTGAAATCTGTATTTCCTGGCTCATACAGCTGTATCTAAACACTAGAGCATGTTCATATCATAATATAGGAATGCATCTGGCTACATCCTGATTCTGGCAACTCATGACACATCCCTTTGGGTGGTGATATGTCTGTCATCTTTGAATCAACAGCAATGACTGTATCAGCTTATCTTTGTCCTGCATCCTTCAAGAGCTCAGTCACCTGGTTTAAAAAAATGATCAGAATTTGCTTCCTGTAAATGCTGGGAGTGAAACAATCACCGTGGAGGAAGTAAGCATTTTTGACGACATTACAGAATGATCGAGACTGCTGCTATGGCAGAAACAGAATATTACACCAGCAGCTGAGCAGAGATGAAGAACTCATAGGAGCATCAGGTAAACTGAGCCGTATCTTTACTGACCTGTGTCTTGGCCAGGGATGGAGACGGGTTGCGGTCATATGAGCGCGTCTTCATATTGCAGTGTTATGATGATATCACTGCAGACAACAGTATTCAAGCTCCGCCCAGAGCTTACAGCGCCGCCGCGCCGGTTGTCAAGATAGTTCCTCTCCGGCCGGCAGACAGCGGCGAAGGCGGAAGTAGACGGGAGGGAAGGATCTCGCGTTTTTAATCATCTCACTGCTCTGAGACTGAACAAAGCCCATTAAGAACTGAAAAATGTCTTTTATTCATTTATTCTAGTTATTATTTTTTTTTAAATATTATTTTGTATATTGTTTATTTCTTTCTCATTCAATGCGCCCTTTTTAGATTTATATTTTTGCATTTATAAAAGGAAAAAAGTATTTCTCTTACATAAAAAAACATCAGAAAGAAATCTTTCCCTGCACACTAATGTCTAAGCTTAGTTAGTTTAAGATACCATAATAATTACACATAATTAGAATTATCATTGTGATATTTTAACACGCAAGCAAATTATAGTAAATTATAGTTTTCTCTGTGTTTCTAAACCAGCTGTAATCATTCTTATAATATTTTTTTTAAATCATGTCTTTGTTTTTTAAATGTACAGCAAGCAACCGACAATATTACTTGTGGAAGGACACCTTGTGAAGATTACAGGTGTTATATGTTTGATGACCTATACATGAAAATGTTTTTATTATTATTATTATTATTATTATTATCATTAATTATTAATAGAAATATTTTCTGACATGATTAATAAGCTCAGAAAAGTTTGGCTTCGTGATGGTAAAAGTTGATTTATGAATATAAAATTGAGTAAAAATATCAAAGAATAAGAAAACAGATAGCAAGAATGTATATATAATATATAATATATTATATTATATATTATATTCGGTGGGTCCAGATAAGTGAAGCGTCAGTTTACTCGTTTGTATTTAGCTGCACTGTTCACCTCCGCCTCTAGAGGGCGCTGTCGTATAGGTCCTGATAGCGGAAGCTGATGCGGCTCCAGCCAATCAAATCGCAGGAAAAGGAGGCACAGGTTTCCGGCCTAATGAGCGACAACACAAGTCTGAAAGACGAAGAGGAGAAAGCTTCCTCTACAGCTAAACAGTGAACGGGTTAGCTCTACATTATCCAGCCACAACCTGCCGTAAGTGTCGCTCTTGCTGCCGTCGATTGCACTTCGTGAAGATAAGCGACCCCCACTGAGAAACGTTGGTGTTGGTGTAACAGTTGAGGGTCAACCAGGGGGTCGTTGTCGGTGTTGCTAAAGCTAACTGACGGTCTCTGTGTGTGTTTTTAATAACCGTAGCTACCGGCTAAGGAGGAGCCTCAGCTAAGCAAAGCAAAGCTATTAACAAAACCTCTGCCCCGTTAAAGCTTTCTGGTGTTCGTCGTGTGGGTTCATCGACGGTATACGCATATATAACACAACATAACATGAGCTGTTTTAGATTTAAAGCGCACTAAAGCTAAGGTTAGCTGTGTTAGCGTTTATTGTTGTTGCCCTGCTCCTTCGTTGATCTAATCACGGTGAGATGATTAAGTTGTACAGCCCATCAGACCTTTCAGGGTTTGTTTTTAATTGTTATTGTTTCATTATTAAATATGGCTTCTAAAGTCAAGAATGCTGCGTGCTGATTACTATTTTATGTGTTGTGTTTTTTTTTTTTTTTTTACATTTTGACCTTTTTATAGCGATATCTGATCTCTCTCTTCCTATAAATATCTTGATATCAGTGACATTAAATAATACATAACGGTAACTTTACAAATTGCTGCGCCCGAATAATAACCTAACGATACAGTTGGTATGTTCCAAGGCGACAAATGACCTAAAACTAAACATATTTAACAAATTCAGCTGCACATTTCACTAAGTTAATAAATAGTTACACAGCTTATCAGAATTATCCTCTGCCACTCAGCTGATCACTTCTAAACTATTAGTTTTATGTTATCAGTGGGTAAAATAATGATGTGCTTCTCCTCCTGCTTGTTTCTCTCAACAGATGCTCTAACTAATCACTAATTTATATCTCAAGAGTTGGCAGTTGTACTGGCATGGCATCTGTTTACTGAACTGCTCCATCTTGTCTGCTAGCACCAAACATTGGTGTGCAACTTCCCAGTGAATGAGACTGACCCACCGTCACCATGGAAACAGAAACAGTAAGTTTGCTTCCTAGATGTTGATGTCCGAACGATGTCTTTACTTAACACTGTTTAACTTAACGCTGCCTTTTTTTCCCTACGTGATATTTGCTGGAATTTAAAGTATAGACGTAGACGCTTTAAAAGTACTGTAGTTTGTGTAGAGACAGTGTTTTTTTAATATAATCTTGCAGGAAGTTATTCCTATCTGGCAGAATAAGCCTCATGGATCCACCCGCAGTGTCGTGAGAAGAATAGGTTCCACTCTTCCGCTCAAACCTCCACAAAGGGCATGTTTCCAGGTAAATATCAGATCCCATAAGTCATTGTATTTCCCTATTACTGCGATATAAATGCGTGTTTATACAACATTAACTTGTGTCCTTTTGCATTAGGAACTACCCGGCCTGCCCGCTCTTCGGCCTATGGACGGCCCTATTGTTCCTACCTTGGCAGACATAGCATGGATTGTTGCAGATGAAGAAGAGACATATGCCAGGGTGCGGTAAGTATCCAGGAAAAGCCCTAAGAGTCAACCACTAAGGTTATTATCACAGACCCTCTGAGCTTCCAACTTATTAGGTGCACAGCCTAAAGAAATGCAGTACAAGGTTATAATGTCCTGGTTTTGTTGATACTGTGTCAGAGAGGCGCTGATTCAGCTCTGTGCTGTTTTCTGCAGCTGTAGGTGGTGGTGAAAACTAAACATTATAAACTCAATAAATATAGGCTTTACCAGCAGTTTATTACAGGTACAGCCAAATCTAATAGCATTGCAATAAATATAAAGTATTTTCTGAGGAGTGGGTAGAGGGGGAAAAAAGGCATCAGGTGACCTGACCCTCCGAGGTTTAATATAATAAAGGATACTGTTCAGCTGATCATCCTCTCTTCTATTTTCAGGAGCGACAGTCGCCCTCTGAAACACGAATGGCGGCCCACGCCTCTCCTGGTGCTCCACAGAAACTCATCTGTGCCCAACTTCCGCCGTGAGGGTAAAAGGATGGAGGGGCTCAGGAAGCCCGGGTTGACGGCGCTGAACCGCACTACCGCCCTGCAGGACGAGCTCAGCAGACTTCGTGCACAGATCGCCAAGATTGTGGCAAGTGATTCTGGTAGGTAACCAAAGCAAGAATCGCAGCGTTAACAATGTAAACAATGTCAACTGTAGATTTGAATAGTGATTAAAACACGGGGCAAACATCAGATGAGAACTGGTAACACATTTAACTTGGCACTCTCCTTATTGATACTGATAAGCTGCTTGGTGTGGATTTAAAATTGCTTTATTCAGCCAATGTTTCACCACTGAGCTACTGTCTTCAAGTGACTGTGATCCTTTTTTTTTACCAAGTCAGCTGCCCTGATTCTCCTAAAGCTCTTTGATACTTAGATGTCTTGGCATCAGTTTCTGGGTCAGAGACAAAACATAATCTCTGCGGTTCAGTGCCGGTTGGGTGTCACTCGTTGAAAATCTCAACAAGGATGTCATGAGAAAGTATCATGTATTCACATGTATTGTATTCCCACCGTCTTTAAAGAGGCACAAAGGGAATTTCAGTATTATAACACCTTAAATTCTGTAAAGTTTGTGCCATGAGTCTGTAAACAGGGGAAGGACCTCATATAGACCAGACCTTCATGCTAAGTAAAGCCAGTGTTATGTGTTCTCTATGCAATGATACATTAATGATACATTGTGAGGATGGAAATGTGATCCTAGAATAACTTGGGCTATTACGAGTGGTATACAATAATTAATGGTTGTCTCCACTCAAGGTATGATGGTGCTTTTGAGGACAGCTACTGAATACAACCATAGCATACTTATATGGAAGCTCCAAATTCACGATAGAAATGACGGATACAAATAGAAATACTATTCAGACTCACCCTGAAGAGCTCTGTTTTTTTCTCTCAACACCAACTCAAACTTCTCCTTCTTCCGTTCAGGCTCCAACCCCCTGACCCCTGACCTCCTCTCCCCTGACGACACAAGTATGAGCTTCTCCATGGCGCCTTTCGAGACGGCGCCCTACCAGCCGGCCGCCACAGCTGCCGCTTCCTTTGTCATCAGCGACGTCACGGAGGAAGAAGAAGAAGAGGAGGAGGAGGAGGAGGAGGAAGAGGACGATGAGAAAGATGTGGTCTCAGTGCTGTCAGAGCTTGTCCCTGACCCTCTGCCGCCTGTTTCCATGACGGCATCTGCGACCTTTGACCTGGACAGACCCAGCATGGACTTCCGCGAGGCAGAGGAGGATACGGTGTCGTTATCAAAGTCCACCAGCTTTGCTGACGTCATGGACATCCTGAAGGACATGAACCGCATGAAGATGAGCAAAGACAGGTAAGAGTTGTCGGCGGGGCTGGACACTGTTGTTGTTTTTGCTGAGTTTGAGTTTGTTTTAGAGGAATACTTCTAAAAACCTCTACAGCTCATTAATGAACTCACTGTATGTCCTGTTTCCTGGAGTCTTGTTGTCAGCGTGAGCAGGAACTCCAGGAAGTCACAGTGTCTGGCCAAGAAGCGGTTCAACACAGAACCCCGTGTAAACTTTGTTGTTTTGTACGAGTTGAATAATGTGTTAATTAGCCAATTTTGACAGGTACTAGTAGGTGAATCTTTTTAACATTTGGACAGAGCCAGGCTGGCTGTTTCCCACTGTTTCCAGTCTGTATGGTAAGCTAAGCTAACCATCTGCTGGCTACAGTGTCATATTTACCATACAGATGTAAGAGTTGTATCTTCTCATCTAACTTTTGGCAAGAAAGGAATGAAGCACATTTCCTTAAAGGCCAAATTGCTCCTTTTAAAGACAATTCCTTATTAATATGCTAACATTTCTATATGAACTTTAAAATGGCATTGTATTTCCTCGCATACATAATTTGATTATTGTAGTATTTCAAGCACCCTGAACAATTGTGACATTATTTGTTTTGTATTTCTTCATGCAGGTACAACAGAGGCTGTACGTCCCTCAGAGAGGAGGACTCAGCCTCTCTGATTTCAGAAGCTCTGAGGAAAAAGTTTGTCCTGAAGGAAGAAGACACTGCTGCTATGAAACGGAAATAGCCTCGTCACGTGTTTATCATCAGTACCCAATCCTGCTGCTCCATGTAAGTCAGGACAGGGTAGTAGAAAGTAGTTTTTTTTTTTATATTTTGTATAATGAACCTTTTGAAGGCATGTGGGTGGTTATCATTGGTAATGTATTCAGTGGCAGATTATTTTAGGTCACTTGTGGATTCTTAGTTGTTGTTGTTTTTTCTCTCCCTCATTATTTTTAGGCCTTTGCCTGTGGAATATGTACCCATGGATCCACAACCTTGCTCCTCAGACCCGAGGCAATAGCTGTCTGCCAGAGTTAGAACAAAAAAACACTTTGTCCCAGACATCTAAAACCAAATGTGAACTTCACAGCGCTGGTGCAGTGCGAGGAGGAACAGCCAAGTATCCATAACTATAATCAGTTTCAGCACTGCATCGCATCCTGCAAACAGTTTATTTAGTCTAAAATGGCTTTTATGTTTAAATTTATTTTGAATGAGGACTCAGCAGACTGGTTCCATTGCTGTTCAGAAAGTTGATCTCTGTTCAGGATGTTTTAGATGCATGTTTTGATTATGTTATAGCACATTGTGCAGCGACTGACACCCAAACAATACGTTTTTTTTTTTTTTTACTTAAATTGAGGAATGTCCCTTTAAAAAAAAAAAAAAGCCTTTTATCCATCCTGCTAGCAAGTCCTTCTGCTTTTGAAGTTTCCACAGAAGAGATGCAAATACACATTTTATTTTTGATTTGTTTTTGCAGTTATGTAAAGAAGTCTTCTAACATACTTGAAAATATTTTATGTACAAATGAAACAGATCTAGTGTACATGCAGAGACGTACTGTAGCTTATTACAGTGTGGACGGGGACAAATAACGTTGCTGTTTAATATTTGCATTACAGTACTGAGTTTGTATGTTGCTTGCTCCACTGCACCTCTTATGCCTCTCCTCCTGTTTGTGATTAACATATAGATTGGTAGTCACTGAACCAAAGGACGCTGAAATTAAAACCCGAACTGAAAGGAGCAAGAGTATGCTGATGATATAGTTTGAAGTTTGAGGTGTATAAATCAAAAGAATACTTTATGAAGTGTGTGAGTTTGTATTTCCAGTAAAAGCAACAGATACAATCCTGTAGAGATCTTTTTTTGACACACATTTCCTGGTATGTAGAATGTGCTGATGGGTAGCTGAAACCACATTTATGATGTTTCTTAACGACATTAAAGAGGCAATTTAAGTTTGGGCTGGGATAACTGAGCTTTGTGAAGAGTTTGGGTAAAATGCTTGCGTGAGTCATGTTGATAACAATCAATATTCTTGTTGATGCCTTACCACAGATGTTTTTGCCTGTTTCCAATGCCTGATTTTTATTCTCACACTGGTTCAAGTGCCATGGGTTTATTTTAACCAACCCCACCCCTCATTGCCTGCCCTTTTCCCGAATGTGCCCTCCATCCTCATCTTTACAAAGCTTCCCATGTTTTAATCTCACAAAACTTACATACATACACACATATATATATATATATATATATACGTGTGTGTTTGTGTGTGTGTGTGTGTGTGTGTGTGTATATATAGTGATCGGTGATGTTAAGGACCAGTTGTGTGTGTGTGTGTGTGTGTGTGCACTGCACTGCACTGCACTGCACTGCACTGCATTGTGTATTGCTGGATGTTTGTTAAAAATAACCCCTCAAAAGAGAAGACTTGCTGTTATGTCCCCACACGTCACTCCCACTCATTTTTTTAATTATCTCTCACATTTAAGCCTGCGGGACTGGGAATCCTTTAGTGTAGTTTTGCAGTGTGCAAAGTTGATGCTAAGTTATCTGTTTGGATTGAACAAGAATGTGCTCATCTGTGTGTCGCTGTATGCAGTGGAGTTAAAAAGTGTGTTTTCTAGAATTGGCCATCACCTTGTCTTTCGGTGATTTTTCTCAATTTTTTGGTCAATCGAATACGAATTGATTAGCTGAGAAAACGACTATATGCAAATTTAAATATATATATACGTATTCACTGTATGTCTGTACTTGAGATGTTGAACCTTATAAAGCATATTCTGCCAACTGCATCACCAGTCCTGACAATAAGTTGAGAGGAGAATTTAGTTGATGAGGATTTTCCAGACTTCGTTTTGTTTTTCTTTAGTTTGAGGGTTTCTCACCATTGTACCCTTTGTGTAGGATTGAGCCCACCACCACCACCAAACCATTTGTGTGTTTGTTTTTTGTTATGTGAGGACTTGTAAATAAAGATTGGCTGATGTTTTGAAACTGTCTTTGTTTTTGTCTGTGGAAACAGTTTATTTATTTTTGGCCTCACCGTGCAGTGCCAATCAGCACCACACGGGGGCAGTGCAGGCGAACAAAATTAATGATTTGATTCATTTATTTATAATGTATGGAGGGTTGAGCCACTTCACTTCCACCCTAACTCACTGAAATGTATCACTAGTTTAACACAATTACTATACAGATACACACTGACTATACTGGCAGTTGCTGGGATTATTAGGAGTTATAAAATATTTGAACTTTTATCACATTTTCTGGAAGTTGGGACAATAGGTAGACATAGGGTTGGCCATTTTAATTGATTATAATATATAGTGATCCTAATTTGATAATTGATTGACTATGAAGACGTTATAAACTTGAAACCTAAAAATAAAAGAATCCCTTTCAGATTAGGGGTCCGTGGTCTAATGTGCATCTATTGTGGGGGTCCTTGACATAAAAGAGTTTGGGAACCTCTGATTTAATCTATAAGAATATGTAATCATTTATAAATTGATCATGTATTTCATCTGTAAAATCCTTACCTGCAAAGTAACAGAAAGGTAAAAAAGAAATATGATATTATACTCTGAAATGTAGTGGGCTAAAAGAAGTAGCATAAAATGGAAATACATTCAACAACACAACAACACATTACATTCCACCACTGACACAAACACTCAACATTTGACCATTTAGACCTAATGTAGATGTTTCGATATAAAGTTTATGTGCCTGGAATAATCAAATCCCACTTTTTCAACTGTATAAAACCTGACAAACTGTCATAACAGTATGTAGTACCTCCTCACTTCATCACACCCCGGGGGGCCTGTACTCGAACGCCTGTAATTTCGAGGATTATTGTTAACCCACATTCTTTCCCATTTCCTGTTCTTTCCCAAGATGATCTGGCCCCTCAGTGAGTCATAGTCTATTTTCTGTGAGAGTCCTTGGCCTACTTTGTCCCTCTTCACCTCCACGATGGACTTCCTACCTATTTTAGATACAGGGAGATGTCTGTGGAGAGCTCAATTAATAGGGCTCAGTGTCAAAATTAGGCTTCGTTAAACCTATAAATACAGGCCTTTAGTTCAAAGTGACATTGACACATTTTCATCACTACGAGACTTGTGAAAAGAATTTCAAAACGGGTTAATACACATTTGAACGGGCAGTTGGAGGTCCCCTGGAGCTGCTGAAAGGCTTCTTACAACAAGGTTACGATTGCTGTTCTGTGAAATGTGAGTAATATTTAAAGTGAAATGAAGTGAAGACTATTGCGATGAAGCAGAGTGATGTGCATGGCTGTGAGTCAGACTGGAGTCATATAGTGAGAGTTTAGAATCAAAACAGCTGAAAATTAGCTGATATATTGTTTATTGTAGTAGTTTTGCATGGTAGAATGCTAGCATTTGCACACAAGTACAGCTGAGGCAGATGGGAATAATAATTATTCAGGTATATGGTCATAAACCTGAGTATTAGATCCAATGAATAGTTGGTCTTATGATGTTAGCTGATAACTTAACATCATCAATAAAGTTATTATGGAGTGAATGCCGAGATGAACGTACACAGTCCTTCTTATTGGCTAAGACAGTGATGTTCAAAAGTTCAAAGATGAACCTGTGTGCCCTTTCAGTGCATCATGGTGGCGACATGAATGTCTGTACCAAATTCCATGGCAATCCATCCAATATTTGTTGAGACATTTCACTCAAAGCCAAAAATGTGATCCTCATGATGAGGGTTAGGGGAAATGCCAGTGGATCACCAATGTGACCAGTCAGTAGGAAAATATTCTTGGCAATCCATCCAGTACTTGTTGAGATTTCTCAGACTGGACTATTGCCATCCATAGGGCCATGTCGGTAGCCTTGTTTAAATGGGTCATAAAGTATTAATTCTTTCTGTAAATATACTATAAATCCAGCTGTGTTGGAACATTTGAAGGGTGTATAGTGTTGTTTAGGATCCGAAACACAGACTTGTTGGTCTTGACTTACTTTGTGACTTGCAAGACTTTATCACACCTCCAATCCCACCACATGGGGCAGTTATCTCCAGCCAAGTTTCTGCTCTGTGATAAGTGGCAGTGAAGCAGCAAACACGCCAACAGGTAGAGTATCCGTCATCCTGACTGGTCAGCATGGCTGCTCCATCTCCCTACGCGCCAGAGCTTTTTATCAATGTCTCCTTATGTTGCTGGAAGCTCTTCATAAGGAGACCTGTCATTGGAAACTTCCCTCCAATGTCCGACGTGTTTTCTAATTATGCCCAGAGGCTGTCAGGTTTCAAGCCCATTTGTTACTTTCATGAGCAATCAAAGGAATTGTTTTTTGGTTTCCCGTCATGGAAGGGAGAATTGTTCTATTTTAATAGATGGAGTTTTGATTTGGATAGAAATATTGTTAGGGCTTTTGGTTTTGATGAATCTGTCTGACAAATATCGAGTCCCGCTGCAGCAGGGAGGGCTGAAGCGAAACCAGGGGAGCATAGATCACTCCAGGAGCTCTCACTCTTACAGAGCAGGTGTTACAGAAAACATACCACAGTCGGTATTATTTATTGGCATATTTACACCTTTCTAGGAGTGACAGGAAATGCCTTCATTCATAGTTAACGTCTCAAAATGCATCTGAAAATGCTGCATTAGTATTCCCATTTCAAAATATTGGTTGAAGGACCAGGAACATGCTTTTGTCATGAGGAGCAACAGTACAAACTGGAAATAAAAATATATGTTTTCCCAATATAACACTTGTTGCTACTCAGATAATGAAATGTTAAATATTGTCAGGCAGAAGCTTTGAATGTACACTGATACTGACTTTACGTTCATTATATATATAAAGAAGTTGTATCACAATAAAGGAGAGCTTCATTTAAAGATCACCCACCAAACATGTATAAAAACATTTATGCAAATGCTTGGAACAACGTGTGTCTGATATGTTTTTCTGCAAAAAAAATACATACATAAAATATATATATATATATTGATCAAACGCTCGTATCTCTATGTTCATACATATTTGCCCCTATTTTCTACATTTAAACTACATTTGTCTACTGTTGATTCAAAGTAGATTTATCAACCTCAGCCACATAGCAATCTGTCTGACCATAACTCAACTATCAAGTACATTTAACACAAGTGAGTTTAGAAAATACTTTCCTCATTGTGGTTATGAAGTTGGACTTTTTTTTGCATAGTTTTTGAGACTGAATGGCCCTCATCTTTGGAAATACCAGAGGAAATACCAGAGGCAGAGTGCACTAAGCTTCATGATGATCAAAACAGTTCCCAAACTCTGTCCTCCTCATTATCCACATGAGAGTAAGAGAACCTGAGAGCAGAGAGCTCCTGATCACCCAAATATAGTGTCATCATTCTTCTCTTTATTTGACAGGAAAAAGCCACTGTAACAAACATGTCAAACGTCGTTAATGCGTAATTCATGCTAACCGCTTCTGCAATATGTTAAGTACTGACAGCCAACTTGATGTGGGCAAGGACATTTCAATTGTTTCAGAAATAGAAGATTTCCCAGAATGTGTAAGAATATAACAGCTTTTGTGTGTTTGTCTGCGTGTTCAGTTCGAGTGTCATCTTCCATGTTGTATCGTAGCAACAACCAGCTGAATGAAGCCGAGACTGAGTGGATGACAGGGGTCTGGGGGAACACAAGCGATGCATCTGCTGCTCCCACCCGCCCACCCACCCTCCCCCAGTGTCACCCACGCATCCGCCCACGTCATCAAGACCCAAAACTAACACTTATGACTCACAACAGCAAGAGCTCCACAAGAGCGGCTGCAGCTCCATTGAATTCACTCTGTTGTTTCTATTTTTGGGCCTCTGTAGTGTTTCTGTCTTATTAGTGGGTTTGCCCTCTAAACATGATTGCTTTGTGATGCAAAGTAAATTGCGTACATAAGTGGAACAGTTGATAGCACTTAAGTGTGGTGTTGTGCTACCTCTCCCTTCACACTGTGGTGAACCTGTTGCTGCTTGTTTAAGCTTCACACATACCCTGCTAAAATATCTGGAAGCAGAAACAGCTAGCCTGTTCAAAATACCAAAAATCTACCTATCAGCGCCTCTAAAGCACACTCATTTATATGCTTTATCTCTTTTGGAAACCAAAGTGTGTTGAGTTATGTGCAATTCTAGTTCTTGGAAGGGAGCAATGTCTTCCTAGCTGTGTCTCCTTTTTGAAGCCTTTGTGTTAATCTAAGATGATAGGCTTTATATTTAAAGGACAAAACTAAAGTAGTATCAGTCAGATAAGACTCAGCAAGAAAGCAAGTAAGCGTATTTCCCACAATGTCAAATATTCCTCCGCAGGCTCCAAAAAGTGCAAGTAGGATAGAAGAAGTGATAAATGTTACAAAGAAGTGAAGGAAAAGTGAATAAAGTAATGGTGAGGGAAAACGGATGAGGCTGATGGGATTAGGGTTTTAGAGTATTAGGACAGCACAGCACAAAGATATCTGTGGTGTGTTCATATCCATCATTTTAGTCTGTTAATTGGAGCAAGTCATCATCTTGGCCTTGTTTCCGCCCGCCAGCTCCTAATGGGTGACAACTGGCATTTATCAACTACCTTTGTTGGAAAATATCTCAAAAGCCTCATCAGGATATGGTCAGCTTGTTCTTTTCACTGGTCAGCTCAAAACAAGATCCATTAGCCTCTTTAGAATAAGAAATATGATCCCAGGTTTATGACTGCTTACATAAATTCACCCAAGGAGAGGAAATATCTTTCTTCCCTCCTCATTTTCTTTTCCCACGCCTCAGAGTCACATTTTGATAAGAAATTGATAAGAGCTAGTTTGTGAGTCCCAGATGGTACCCCCCGTACCAGGGCCTATGTGGCAGTCATTCATAAATTATGCATTTTGTGTATAAAGAACAAAATCACAGAAGCCGATAGACCCTCCGAATACTGTACACACGTAGGCTATGATATGAATTTATAGAAGCTGAA